AGCTGCTGTGTGGTTGATGGATGTTTACACCCTGCCTTAAAGGGACAGTTCACCTGAAAATAAGAATTCTGTCATATAGTCACCCTCAATTTGTTCCAAATTCATAGGACTTTCTATTTTCCGCGGAACACTGTTTCAATTTTGGGTATGTGTTTGTTTTCATTCACTAAACAATAATTGGTTCATAAGAATAGCTTGTTCATTTTGATTCACAAATACTGCTAATGAGTGTAATTTTTTCATTCTGATTCGCAAAAGAAAGAAAGAAAGAAAAAGAAAGAATGGCTTGTAAGAGTTATTCATTTGTGAATCAGTCAACAATGGTTGCACTTTTGATTCACTAAAAAATTAACCGACTCATTTGAACCAGAGTCATTCATTTGGGAACTGAACTATTCTGGGGTGCGTTTCCCAAAGTCATTGTTAGCTAACTATGGTTGCAAGTTCCGTTGAACTCCGTTGGCAACTAAGGAACTTACGACCATAGTAGCTTTTGGGAAATGCACCTCTGGTCTTGCTCTAATTCTGACCGCCCGCCAGATTATGCACTCCCTAGTATTGGTAGGTTTAGGAGTAGGTGTGGGGGAGGGTTTCGGATTAGGGGTGGGGTTAGGATTAGGAAATCAGGTAGCGACTTGAACAAGATAGGTAATAATTCGGCAGGCTTCAAAAATCTAACGGCGACGAAATCTGACGGTATTGTCGCCTCGAGTCGGTGGCGTCTGGACCAAAGATCTGCGCTTGAACACACCACTCAGACTACAGTCGACAGCAAACTAACACATGTGTTCTGCATCTGCATGAGAGGAATTAACTGTCTATATCAACAGCTATCAATAGTATATATTCGTCATTCAAAAGGAGAAACCGAAACAAGGATATACGAGATATACGCAGATTTTGAATATCAGTTATGCTGATAACTTTCTTCATTTTAAGTGGCTCATGCTGTTATGAAAATATTTGCATATTGGAATGCTTGGGTAAGATCACATAACATAACAACAGCCATCTGTGTGTGCCGCCTTCATTTACTTGCTCATTTTCATCTCTTTCACTTTAATTTTCGTACACTGACTCACTCGCTAAACTGAGCATCCAATCAGAGGTCTCACTCTCGCCATCGGCCCCAACGCCGATTCAGCATGTTGAACGAGAGTGGAGCACACCAAAAAACTAGCCCTACAGATGCTTACCGATGGCCGACTGTCAGCTTAGTGTGTCCCGGCCTTAAAGTACACTGGATGCACTGTGTGTTTTTGAGTCAAGACTTATAAGAGTCAGTTGTTCAGGAATCAAACTATACCGGTCTTGCTCTATGTTTCTGATTCATATCTTGCACTGGTTTTATCCACTTTTTCTGTGGAAAGAGCATAAATGGGCTATTTTTAGTTTTTTTTATAACAAAAGTGGTGTTTTGCCTGCTTTGGGGTGGCCATGGCTAAGTGGTTACTAAGAAGTTCTGAGTGCTTGTTAGCATGTTGCTATGTGGTTGCTGGGTGGTTACCCTGTCTTAAAGGGACAGTTCAACCAAAAATGAAAATTCTGTCATCTTTTACTTGTAAAACAGTTTAATTTTTGGGTGAACTATCTCTATAATCAAAAGAAAACAGATGGCTTTAGATGGCTCAGATCCCTCCTTATATTTATGTCTAGGATTTCAGTGTCATTTACGTCCATGACTTAAACAGCAAGGGATGATTTATGCAGAAAAGTTTTGAAAAATACTACTAGTGATCTCTCTCATTTCAGACAGTTCCAATGCAACCCACTTTCTATCTTACTACAAAGTCTCTTTAGATCTCGTTCTCGCACTCCCGCTGTCCCATTACACAGAAATTCTTAATATCGCTTGTGTTGTGTACTCTACTCAAACAGTTTGTTTCCTTCTAATACCCTACCAAACTAATATTTTTCTCTGATAACAGAACTGTAACTGGTCTCGTGTGTTTTGTTCGCTCAGTAGCATTTTTGGTCAATTGTGTATTTTGGAGCGTTTTGCAGCCGTCAGCTTTAATGCATTTGCAGCATCATTTGATCTGCGTCTCCTGCGCCGAGCAGTTTAAATAAAACACAAGTTGACTGAATAAAAAATGTGTCATATTCATTGGTGTCAGCAGATAAAAGAGGAAAAGATAGAGAGACGGAGTGAGTCACAACTGAAGGAGAAGAGAAAAGACAGATGTCTGTCTGTAGCTGCTGATGTGGCCGTCATGGGCGTTCTGTCCTCTGCGTTCCTCATTTACTGTTGCATAACATCTGTCTTACTTTGGTGTTTGGACTGTTTTCTGGTCTGTGGTGTAAAGTCCCACTCCTAACCATCACGGGACGAGCAGGATGGGGTTTTCCATTTGTGCACAGAGGGAAGATGCACTGCGTGGATGTTTGATGTGAGGGTGTGTAGTGACAGGGTTCATACTTTAATGAATCCTAGCAGTAGCTGTGGTTACTCTGGATGAGTTATTCTGGAGTGGAAACAGAGATGGATAACAATTACGCACACAAACAACCACATGCACACAGGCAGACAGCAACTTTGATTTTGACATAACATTATGCACTCTGACACATTTGCTGTAAATTTAGTGGTTTTGTTTTTCTTTTTGTGCTCATGTGTGAGCTAGCACTGACTGGGTACATATATATGTCTTATGATTCAGTATGAATTATACATAACAATATCAGAATTGGATTATCATTATTACCGCTCAGAACAAATTCTGAAATAATACTGTTCAATGTAAACATGAAATGATGTTCTTAAACCATGTTGATTATGTAATCTGTCATGTGAAACAGGATATTCTGCAAGAAGAAAAATGTAGATAGTTGATTGGGTCCTGAAAAGAAAGAAAAAAACAGCTCATGAGAATCATTGGTTCGTTTTGATCTAAAAACAGAAATGGCTCATAAGAGTCATTCATTAGGGAATCGATTCCGTGTATCATTCGATCATTCGTTTTTTGATTTAATATCAAAAGTAGAAAAATGAGAAAATGGCTCTTTTTTTTTTTTTTTTTTTTCCAAAAAACGAAAAAAGAGATTTCAGCTTAAATTTACGTTTTTCGTTCATGGGTGGAAAAATTAATAAACAGCTTGAATAAATCGATTTCTACATGTGGGCGGGAATTAAACGCCCCTTTCTGCTGATTGGTCAGCCGAAGATCAAACCGTGCCATCATCAGTTCTTCTGCAGTATCATGCAGCAGAATAATAGTCCTCCACTGCTGCAGTTGTACGGATTAATAACCCATTTGATCAATTTCATAATTTTCTCATCAAACAGACTAATGAATAGCTCGACACAACTCGTACCGGGGCAGAGTCTAGACAGGTCTTTCTTCTGTGTAGACCAGCGGTTCTTAAAGTGATAGGGGGTCCAAGAAATAATTAGCTATAGCCTAAAGTATTTCCAGACTGTAAAGTCGTTTTTTTTTATCATGATACATAGGCCTACTGTGATTTATTCCAAAGTGGCTTATATGATGCATTTAATGTAAAATAATCTAAATTAAGCCTTTTAAAAGACGAGTATTCCCTGTGGTTCATGTTTGCGGCATGCACAAGAAAGATACTCAGCTGATGCAAAGAATAGCATTTATATCTACACAGAAGAAAGCCCCTTCTAGACAATGCCCCGGTACGAGTTGTGTCGAGCTATTCATTTGAGTGTTTGTTTGATGAAAAAAAGATTAAATGTAGTTGCAATAAATGCGTTAAGAATCCATACAACTGCAGCAGTGGAGGACTATTATTTTGCTGCAGAAGAACTGAAGGCGGCACGGTTTGATCTTCGGCTGACCAATCAGCAGAAAGGGGCGTTTAATTCCCGCCCACATGTAGAAATCAAATATTCAAGCTGTTTATTCATTTTTCCACCCATGAACGAAAAACGAAAATTTAAGCTGAATTCTCGTTTCTCGTTTTTTGGAAAAAAAACGAAAAAATGAAAAAGGAGTCGTTTACTCATTTTTCTACTTTCAATATTAAATCAAAAAACGAATGATCGAATGATACACGGATTGAATCGGACTACAAAGGATCAAACTGTATGTTTTTGACTCACTAAAAAGAATCAGCTCATAAGAGTCATTCATTCATTTTGAATCACTAAAAAAGAACCAGCTCATAAGAATCATTTGTTTATTTTGATTTACTGAAAAAAGAGCCAGTCTATAAAAGTCATTAGTTTGTTTTTGGTTCAATTTGGGAACAAGTACTGGTTCATAAGAATTTGTTTGCTTTGAATTAAAAAAAGACAGCTTGTTAGATTTGATCATTTTATAATTGGACTACTGGACAACAATGGTCACTCTGTATGTTTTTAATTCACTAAAAAAAGAACCAACTCATGAGGGTCATTGGTTTGCTTTCATTCACCAAATAAATAAATAAATAAAAATAGAATGCATTTACATTAATTTAGCGACTTTGGATAAAAAGAACCAACTCATAAGAATAATGCATTTGCTTTGATTAACAAAAAATAGCTTACAAGTGTCATTTGTACATTTTGATTCACATAAAAAAAATGGCTTCTAAGAGTTGTTTATTTGGTCTTGGATTGCAGTGGTCGTACTGTGCTTGTTTTTAACTAACAAAAAAAAGAACCAGCTACACTGAAAAAGAACTTGCTCATAAGAATCATTTGTTCATTTTGATTCACTAAAAAAATTAAATGGCTCGCTAAGAGTTGTTCATTTGGGAATCAGACTACAAAGTTCAGACTGTATGTTTCTGATTCACTAAAACTAATTCCCTCAAATTAATTGATTCATAAGAGTCATTGTTTCGGGAATCATACTAAATTGTTCACACAGGATGTTTTTGACTAAAAAGCACCAGTAACTCTAAAAAGCAATAACAGAGAGTATTAATGGCAACTTAACCAAGATGTGGTACTTTTATCTTAAAATTTACAGTGATTTAAAAGATTTTATTTGTGCTGCAGTATAGGTCTCAGTGTTTAATTAGCTTATGTGTGTATTTTGTGTGTACAGGGAATGACCTATTCCTGGTGGCAGTACATGAACTGGGTCACGCGTTAGGCCTGGAGCACTCTAACGACCCCACTGCCATCATGGCCCCCTTCTACCAGTACATGGACACAGAGAACTTCAGACTGCCACATGATGATCTGCAGGGCATCCAGAAGATCTACGGTAAGATTCACCCAGAACACACTCAATTCACAACATACTTTTATCAGTCACTACAGTGTAAAAAATGATTTTTCGAAGTACATAAAACAGATTATTGGAGTAGTTTTTACAATAAAATATTTCAGTCTTTCTACTTAAGAAAATTGTTTAATTTAATGTGTTACTCGTGAAAGTTAGTTTCAACCACAGAATGAAATAATAAAAATAGGTAAATGCAACTTTTTATCTCACAATTCTGACACTTTTTTCCTCAGAATTCTGAGTCATAAACTCACATTCTGAATGTACATCTCGCAATTTAGACTTTTTTTTCTCAGAATTTTTGGAATCGGATTTGTGCCTTTAATTTTGAACACAACTTCTCAAAAAACGAATGAAAATCTAAACTGAAAATGAATAAAATATCTTAGGAAAAAAAAATGTATGACTTCGTATTTAAATACACTGCATGCTTTGCTAACTTTGCTAATGCATCTGAAGTTTTCATTTACGCTACCTGAGTTTTTGTTTACCATTCTGGCACAAATCCCTCATGGGGCGGGGTTAGCAGTGGTGGGTTCTCATTGGCTGGTGAGTTTTTGATTGATAGCTTCTTGACCTGGAAGTGAAGACATCAGTGTTATGTTCTTTACAAGTGTGACTGAGAATCTGTATATAAAAGAAATAAAAAATCTATGTATTTTTTTTTTCAGAATTGTGAGAAAAATTTCAGAATTTTGACATATAAACTCAAAGTTGTGATAAAAAACATCAAGATAAATTTTTTTTTTATTCCATGGCTAAAACGAGCTTGCATAGTTACATGTCGTTTCTTTGTAATTATTTCTGAAATCTTCTAGTATAATTTAAATTTTTTTTACAGTGTAACACTGAATATTAAACCTCAGTGTTTAGCTCAAATCAGGACCCCTTAGCAACCACATAGCAACAGCCTGGCAACCAAACATGCTTTCCTTATAAAATGTAAAAACCTACTGCATTATTTTTCCCTCTGTTCCTCCACTCCCATCCAGAAAAACACTAAAATGCACGTTCCTGAGATGTTCAGATCCTCTTTCCTGGATTCCATCCAACGTCCGTCCCTTTGGACTTCCTCTTTCCTCCTCCTGACACAGGATGAGACTGCGGAGGGTGGAGATACTCGTACATCTTATGTATCACGCACACATTCCCAACTACGTTCTCTCAATATCCATCACTCTCACCAGAGGAGATCTCCGTTCTGTTGGCCTTGCGTTATGTAACGTGTGAAGGGCTGTAATCCTCGCTCTATTTCAGGAGATTTGATTTCAGACAGTCACTCCTCTCTGTGGTTCTCCAGAGGGCTAATCCTGTCAGGCCGCCCTCCTGCCTGATTCATACTTAAAATCATTCATTATTTTCTCCATTTAGTCACCTATCCTTTCATTCTCACAGAGGATTTCTTGACCTCTCGATCTGCGGGCTCGTAGCGTTCTGTCGGCTCTTCCAAAAATCCCGACGTCTTAGTTCATTGTGCTAACAGCTTGGACTCTTCAGAGCGGGTCAGCCGTCTGCTGTGCTGTTATAATGAGTCCACAGATAATTGAGGTGTATGCTGGACTATAATTGATGCGAGAGCACATGATAGTTTTTTTTTTTTTGTAATACCAATGGTCCAGATGAATATTATAAAACCTATTTATTTGATCGATGAGATTATCTAGCTTCTTTTACCTTTATTTTCATAATAACACAATACAAATAGTATATATAATATAATAAATGTTATATGTAATAAATGTATAATTTATAATAAATATACAATATAAATAATTTATAATTTAAATGTAAAATATAATCTTATAATTTTTTTTGACAAAACTTGTTGGATGAGCATTCAAAACTGTAAAAATTGCTGATATACACATGTAATCAGTTTTATAAATGTTATATTAACATGATATCCATAAACTGTTAGGCTAATGAAGCAGTTAGGCTAATGAAATATATTACTTGGTGAAATAATTGTGATATATACTACGATATAAATAAAATAAAATACAATGTATGAAAAATATATAAACAATATGATTTTTTTTTATATATAAGATTTATAATAATAATAATAATAATACCATTGTTTTCCAATGTAATTATTCAGTTAATTATTTTTATTTATTCTTCTACATCTTAATAAAAGCGACAACAGAAATATGACAAATAAACATACCATTGTACAATGGGTAAGGTGTATTAATACATTTTATATTAACACAATAACCATAAACTGATATAAAGTTAGGCTAAATAAATATATTACTTGGTGACATAATTGTGATATATACTGCAGTATAAATAAAATATAATTTATGAAAAATATTTAAATAATATTAAATATTTTACAATATAAGATTAATAATGATAATTTTCAATGTAATTATTTTTATTATTTAATTTATTATTATTATTATTATTATTCATTTCATTTAAATAATTATTGAATTATTTATTTTATGACTTTATAAATGCAACAACAGAAATATGATAAATAAACATATACCAGTTGTACAATGGGTAAGGGGTATTTGTACGCATGACATTTAGCCTCTAAAGCCCCCTTAGGATTGCTTTTATAAAATATAATAAAATAGCATCATGATAAAACACAATATTCTATGATTGAATGTAATTATTCTTAATAATTAATTATTTCAACAATTAAAACAGTACATTAGTTTATTGCCAAGCAAATGGCACATTAATATTGAATTTAGACTCTAAAATGTTATTATGAGATAAATTTGACCATTTATGAGGAGGTTTCTGGCTACAACCAACCTTAAATGTGATAAAAATAAATAAAAAAAAATCTCTAGAAACTAGAAAACATTTGGTGTTTGATAACCCTTGTCTCTCTCTCTCTCTCTCTCTCTCTCTCTCTCTCTCTCTCTTCAGGACCTCCCGACAAACTTCCTCAGCCAACGAGACCTCTACCGACGGTCCTACCAGCCCGCTCGCACCCTCCTGTTGATCCACGCAAAAACGACAGGCAGACACGGCCTCCGCGAATACCGACTGGCGACAAACCAATGCACCCGAATGCTAAGCCAGACATCTGTGACGGCAGCTTCAACACATTAGCCATCCTCAGGAGGGAGATGTTCGTGTTTAAGGTAAGCCAATGAATGAGACATACAGTAACTGTCAGAAATACACAAAACAAACAGATTCATATGTCTTAATTACTATATGAAATAAGCTCATCTTCAACACTGTGTTTAGAGCGCTGGCAGCTTCAGACACACACACACACACACACACACACACACACACCACAGGAAGCGTTTCAGCCAGCGTTACGCCTCGCTGTGTGGGTGTTTTCTTTGTTCTCTCAGCGCTTGAGCTGAAGCAAATTGACCTATTAGTCAGAGCAATGAGCTTTTCTTTGCTTGCTGAACCTGAGAGCTGCCTTCAATGAATTCTTAACCCTCCAGTGTGATAGTTGAGTGGGCTCAGTAATGTTTGTTTTAAAGAAATTCATAATTTTATTCAGCAAGGACACATTAAATTGGTCAAAAGAATCAAAATGAATCAGAACATCGAACAAATGTTGTTGTTTTGAACTTTCGATTCAAAACAAGTCCAATTAATCCTGAAAAAAGGTATCACATTTTCAACTTTGATAATAGTAGGCGATATTTCTTTAGCAGCAAATCAGCGTATTAGAATGATTTCTGAAGGATCATGTGACACTAAAGACTGGAGTATTTATGCAGAAAATTCAGCTTAGCATCACAGGAATAAATTACACTTTAAAATATATTGAAATACAAAACAGTTATTTTAAAATGCAATAATTTCACAATATTACTGTTAATTTACTGTATTTGACTGTATTTTTGATCAAATAAATGCAGTCTTGATTGGATTAAAGGTCACATATTTTACACCTTTCTAGATTTTTATTTTAGGTTTTGATGTCCTTAAGAATATATATTTGCAGTATAAGTACCAAAAACCATCTCAATATATTTTTACAGCTCCTCTCTCAGGAACTCTGCTGAGAACAGGTTGATTTTGGCCTGTCTAATTAATATTCAAGAGCCTCTCTTCTGATTGGCCTGTTGTTTTCTGAGTGACGCACAGCCAGGCCAACCACAGGTAACTAGGGTCAGCCGACGTCACAGCTCTAGCTGGAGGCAGCAAAACAAAGGGGAAACTGGAGGCGGCCCATTCAAACCAGCGCAGATTCGGCTACATAAGGAGCTTAAAATATCACCTTGTTGTGATGCTGGGTGCCAGAATCGACGTAATACAGCCTGCCACTGCCAGACAAAATACAGCCCACCACTGCCAGACAAAAAACCGACGACAGCTGTGGTTAAACGCGATAAAACGAGCAGACTGGACAGAAACGATCGTCAAAAATGCTCGCGTTTGCAGCGCACACTTCTTATCAGAAAAGGTTCAATAAAGTATTGTCTTTTGTTGTTATGGGCGCGTCTACAGATTTCTTGCCATATGTCTATGTTTCTTGCATCTCACGACTATGTCTTAGATGTGATCCACCTCATAGTAACAATCCTGTCAGATCGTCCATCCTTTGAGTGAGAGTGTAACGTTACAGATCGGCCGATCTGGTTTCGTGGTAAAGTTAAACTTTTCGACATGTTTGTGTTGTTGTTGCTCAGCAATGGCATGGACGCGGTGTTGTCTGGGGTTTTGGCAAAAGGAGAGTGGGACTGTGGGCAGTGCTCGGGGTGGTGACTGAAGGCAGTGACTGTGTAGTTCTGACGTCAACTTTTTACGGAAGTCACAACGGTTCGTGAAAAATCACAGCTACTTTATGCAGGCTGTGTGCATTTTACTGTGGACTGACTTATATGGTAGTTAAATAGCCCCTAGACCTCAGTTATCATGAAAAAAGCCAGGAAATTTCAGTTTTGACAATATGGGACCTTTAAGAGACTTCTTTCAAAAATACTGAAACTAAATAAAAAAATATTGAAATATTCTTACCAGCCAATGGTAAATAAATATGATAAATATTATTATTTAAACATTAAGTAAAATTAAAAAATTTTGAATTATTTTTTATCTATATATACTACAATATTTATGAATAATATGCCTTTTATATTAATATAAGATTTTTAATAATACATCTTTTTACATTTCTATAGATCTCATACTGAGAACATGCTGAGAACATCATTAGGTTTTCAGAGAGGTGATGACTCCAAAATCCATGACTGCAAAAAACAAAGTCTATAAACTCAAATCAGTGCAATGATTTACATATCACGAGTGCACCAATGGGGGAAAAAAAGTTGACGAATTGATGTCCACTACAAGGGGTTGCCAAAAGAGGGTTGCTGATGAGAAGGCTTCAACAGATTAACAATATAAACTCCTTTAAAAAAAGCTGATTCTCTCTGAAAGTAAAGTTTGCTCACTTATGGATATCATATTTCTTCAGATGTATATGAATAAAGACCGGGTCCAGTAGTTGTTATCTGTGTGTGTTTGTGAAGCAGAGCTCACGTCTCTGAAGGCTACGGCACAGATTTACTACAGAAAGTATATTTTTTTCTGAATCCAAACTCATGCTGATGTGTAGATTTATTCCGCATGAAGGGGGTTTTTGTTGGGCTCTAATCTTGTCACTTGGTCTCCATTCCCAGTTTCACAGCAGACGCCTCTGGGAAAACAAAATCTATCATGAATGCTGTAACATTTCCTCACTTACTCGCTCAGTCGCTCGCTCTCACATGCTGTAAACTGGAGTAGTCTATCATCACAGCTAACACAAACATATTTCTGTGCAGTAAAATGCTCAAAGTCTGCCATCTAAGCTCAGAAGCGTGTCAGATCCTCACATTGGCGGCTCATGGTTGTTGGACGGAAGATGTATGTAACTTGTCTTTATGTAACCAGTGGCCGGTTACATACAGTAGCCTGCTTAAACTAGTCTTACAAGTTAATAATTAATTGTTTTCTATAAATATAAACAGTCAGTTCCCTCCTCCCTCTCTCTCACTCTATAGAAAGTATGTGTGTTTGAAGTGTTGGAGAGTGTGTCTCACTCACTCAACTGACTGGCCGTCTCCTGAGTGCTGCTGTTTGATGCAGTTTAAGTCTGTGCCTGGTGACAGATCTCTTCCGTCCAGTCCTGTGAGGAGAGTTTCACAGTCTGGTGAGGGATCTGTAGACTGTGAAATAGTGAGAGGCAGAGGGATAGAGGCCGATCTCCCAGCAGCAAGCTCTCAACCTGCCCAGCACCACACTGCTCACGGTGCTTTCATCTTTCCCATGCATCCCTCCATCCCTCTATCTCTCCACACACATCACTGTGTTCAGTACTGGCTGGCTGTTACAGTGTGCATCATTTGAGCAGACTAAACCTCTGAATGGAATCTGTATTCACGTCATCTGAGCTCTCGTAACTTACTGCTTCGTCCTGCCAAATCAAACAAACACATTCAAATATTAGTGAAATCAAATCAAATTACATTGATAATTTCTGACATCTGAATTCATCGATATGTAGCGATATTCCATAAATGAACCAGATTCCTTAAATGATTCCTTAAACGAACCAGACATGACACTGATTTAAGTCTCTCAAGTCTTAAATGGATAAATATATACACACACACACACATTTATATTTAAACAAGAAATATTACATTTTAAACAACCACATACAGAAGCTTTTATAAGTTCTTTTTTATAAGCTCTTTATATGGCATCACACGAAGTTCTGAAGCTTTGATCCTAATAAGTGAACATCTTGTGCTTCAGTTTCTCTTATCCTACCGCTGCTTCCTGTACTATAACATTATATTTAATATTACACTCCTCTGTGTTACTCAGCTAAATTAGAGATATTTTAAATTGAAGACAGTCCAACTTGTACCCGATAATGGTCTCTCTGAGAGTGACTGTTCCAAAAAATGAGTTACAGAGGGTCACATAACACACTCTTTCTTACAGAACAAAGCAGAATACATTTTTGCTCTGTGACCCATTTTTTAAGGTCCAAAATTCGTGCAACCCCACACAACCACCTTTGTAACAGAAATAGCCTACATTTTAAGGTCTTAATTGTCAAAATGTCAAATGAAACCTTTCCAAGTCTGACTTTGTAGTTGAACTAATCTCTGCTGATATATTCGGTAATTTGGTCTTGATGCAAATGAATATATATATATATATATATATACACACACACACATCTGGTCAAAGGTTTGGAATAAAGAAAAAAAAAAAGTTCTCCAGGGTATAAATACTGTAAGATCGATAAAAATGTGAAATATTATTACAATTTAAAGAAACAGTTTTTTATTTTAATATATATTTTTAAATAAAATGTATTCCTGTGATGCAAAGCTGAATCTTTAGCATCATTACTCCAGTGTCCGGTGTCACATGATCAGAAATCATTCTAATATGCTGATTTGCTCAGTTATCATCAATATTATTGGTTCTTAAATATTAATAATGATCCTTATTATTAAATCATTTTTATTTGCCGGTTTTAGGATGAGCTTTAATTCAATAAATGAATAAAATTATAATAATACATAAAATAAAAAAAACTCATCAGTGTCCCGGAGCCTGTTTTAAAGCTGAAGCTATGCTGAGACAGTCATTTCTCACTCATTCAGGCCGGATGGGGCTGAACACAGACACAACAGTGTGTCTTCTCTCAAACACTAATGAAACACAGATGAATGTGGTGCGTCTAGAGACCAGGCGTTTACTAGTAGATCACTGTTGTGTTCGTGGACTTCTCTGTGATTACAGAGTGCCAGTCAAATGTGTTTGTCTTTCTCTGGTTTTGGGATAGAAGAGGCTGGTAAGAGAAGGACGAGAAAGAGGAGTGTGTATAAAACAGCCACAATACTGGAGTGTTGTCTTTGCATTGTTATGCAATCGCTAAAGTGTTCTGAGTGGTTGTTAGTATGTTGCTATGCGTTAAGTTATACACCAAAGTTAATTCTACTGTACGAGTATTACTGATATCTGACTTAGCAAACGCCACTAGTAAACAAAAAGCCTGTGTTCTGTTTGATACATTTTGAGCTACAGTGAGGAACAAGTGGAATCAAAGTAGTGGTGCAAAATCTGAAGAATGACATCTCTATAATTGAGTACAAAATACTGTCAGCGAGGAGCAGGCTGAAGAAGTGTCATCTGAGCGCCTTACTGCAGGATAAAATGAAAGACGCCTTCAGTTTTAGAGATTCTGATGGTCAAATTGCATTCCTCAATTTGCTGCATAAAATTAGTCAGAAGCAAATGTGAATGTGTGCTTGAAGAATAATGGGGTTGTCACCTTTGAGCCATATGTTATGCTCAAACTTGCTGTTAAATTGCATTCTGAGAGATTCAGTCCTGGTGAAACAGACGTATGGTGCACAGCAAAGTATCTCGGAACTGCATATAACAAATTGTGGTTCTGGATGCTGATTGGTCAATATCACGTTCCGCTCTGCTGCACTACACAATACTTGTTTATCTATTTTATAATATAACAATATTATAAATATTACATATTTTAATAATAATTGCGTAAATAAATGTACATATTATATATTAATTATATATATGAATTACATAACATATTATTTAAATTATGACATGCACAAATATGAGAACTATTCTGAGAATCTCATTAAAACTTTTTCCTGACATTAAGGTTATTTTACACCCCAAAGTATATTATTGTAATGTACAAAATCATATTAGGCCTCATTTACTAATAGTCATTCACAAACGTTATAGTATTTAATAATAATAATAATTATTATTATTATTATTGTTGTTGTTGTTGATGTTGAATGATATTATTTATAAAAAAATATTATGTTTTTAAAACATTATGTTTTTAATATATAATATATTAAATAGTATGTTAGTATGTTGCTATGCGGTTGCTAGGTGGCTGCTCACAGGACCCGATCAAATGTATTGTTTAAGTGAGTATGGGAAGTTATACACCAAAGTTAATTCTACTGTACAAGTATTACACAAACACCACTAGTAAACAAAATGCCTGTGCTATTTATACAAATATTATAAATATTTATTATATATTTTTAAAAATATATTATATTTTTGTAAATATATAATATATGAAATAGATTTCAATTATTGACTATATATTATTAATTATATTCATATATATCATTTAAATTATTATAAATGCTATTATATGCCATTTAAAATGTTGCAAATTTGAGATCCATTTTCATTACTACAATGCAAAAAAAATTATTTATGTTCAGCATCTGGAAAAAATGTCATACAGGTTTGGAGTGAATAGAGATTAAATATTACATATATTAATTCTATTTTAAAATTTATATTGAAATGATTCATATTTAAATGATTTACTATATATTATTACGTCTATATTAATTTCTATTATTTAAATGATTATAAATAATATTATATCCTATTTCAAATGTTACATACACACATATGAGATCCATTTTTTTACTGCAATGCAAAAAATTTTTACTTTATGCTCAACGGAAAAAGAAAAAGTTCCTACAGGTTCGGAACGAATGGACATAAAGCTTGGCAGAAAATGTTACTCGTTTATCCAGTTTATGAGGCGACAGGCTTGATTTGCCATCATCCTCTCCAGCAGCACAAGAATGATAAAAGCACACAGATAAACATCACTTACACACCTAATGTGCATCCTTTGCTCTTCATTATGACTAAAAAGCCTCCTGGGTCTGCTGGGAACTGTGAAATATGAAATTGCCCACAGTGTCTGTTATAAATCTTTTTATTTATTATTTATGGACTCGTAAGAGCTTCCCAGGAGGGAACAATTGTTACGGAGTTATGACGGAGATATTGTCTGTTTTGCCACTAACGTTTAAACAAGCTTTGGAGCATCAAAGCAGTGGCATCAAAGCTGTAGATGTGTGACGTGGGATTTTCCAGAGCTGGAAGTGAGAGCAGCTGTGGCAGAACGGCTGTAGGTAAAGGCCAGGATGCCACAACTCAAACTATATTCCCATTTGGGTTTGAGTTATTTATAAAATACACTTTTTTGTCCTATGAAAATGACTTGTAAACAACAGAAAAGCTGCTGTTTACAAGACTAAACTTCTAAAGCCTTGTATTGACCACTCTATGCTCCAAAAAACAATGCGCAAAACCTTATGAAATATGTCTGAAATGTTCCATACAGCTAATGTTTCTTTGTTTTTTCTCTTCCAATCATGTTCTCTCTGTGAAGGACCACTGGTTTTGGAGGGTCAGAGATAACACTGTGATGCCCGGTTACCCCATGCTCATCAATGTCTTCTGGAGGGGTCTGCCACCCAAGATCGACGCCGTCTATGAGAACAGCAAGGGCAAATTTGTTTTCTTCAAAGGTAAGATTTCTACACATCAGATCAACGTCCTTCAGCACAATTTGTTTACAAGCGTCACAGGTGAGTTAGTGAGGGAACAGCGTCAAGATGAGACTTTCTACAGAGAGGTCAACTGCTGTAGGGCTCTCACGGGGTTTATCTGCACGGCTTTACTGGAGCGGAGGGGAGTTTGCCTCTAAATATAACACCGTTAGGAGTTCATCTAGTGACTGTAAGAACATGCATGTGTGTGAGAGCGTCTATGATGGTGAATCTCACAAAACCTGTCAAGAACATGAGTCATATTTACACACAATCGAAAGGAAATAGGCATGTACAAATGTTGCAATATTTAATATGATCAATAAATTAAAAGGATTCATAAATTATGTATGACAACAATAATAAAATAATAATTAGCCTAAATGATAATAATTTATATTGCTAATATATTGCTAATATTATTAAAATAAACACAATTATATAAATATAATAATTAATTTTTATTTAGACATTTATATAGTAATTATTCTTAGTATTATGCATTATTATATTGATATCATTATAAATAATATTAAATCAAATAAAACAATAAAATAAGTTATTATTAATACTACAACTTCAAAATTGTATGTAAAAATGTATATCTATTTAAATAATATAATATATACATATATATATATATATATACATTTTATAATCTATATATAGAAATGTAAATAATATTTACATTAAATTATTATATGATTTAAATAATATTATTTGAAATGACATACAAATATGAGACCAGTTCTCATTACTGTAATGCACACAAACATTTTCAAATATTTTAAAAGTATACTTATATTTATACGTAAATATTTAGACTTCAATATTTTAAGGTATAATTATAATTCTTTATTTAACACATTTATTTAACACATTGTGATTTATGGACTTAATGAGGTGACAAGCAAATGAAATTAGGCTTTCACATTTTTTTATGTAAAAAAAAATATATATATATATATGTACATTCATACTGCATGTGTAACAGTAAATTTCAGTATAATCATGTAAAAGGCTAGAATATATAGAGCTGTATTATTCCCATGGGGGGAGAAAGAGAGCATGTGTGTGTGAGAGAGTGAGTTGAAAATCGCTAAAGAGGAAAAGAAGAGACTCGGCCAAATGAGATGATAACACATACGCAAGCAAACACACAAACATACACACACACCTACACAAACACAGCAGTTTTCCACACATTTTTCGTCCTCGACAACTAGATGGTCTCCCGTGTTTAGAGAGCCTAATGAACCTTTTTAGCCCACCATGCCTGTCATCTTATTCATTGGCCTGCACACCTCACATCTCCAGTATCAGATCAGAGAGCAGAGGGATATATTTGAATTATGGATGGATGGAAAAATTACCAGTTGTTTCCATGTATCGGTGTGTGATTGTGTGCACTTTGTGCATCAACTTTGTCTCATATTTTTCCTCATAAAATTCCTATAATTGTTTGTGCATATTTAAAATAATATATATTTAAATAATATAATAATGTATAGACATTAAGGTATAAAAATAAATAATTTAATTGAAATGTAATTTAAAACATTAATATTCATATTTATAATATTAATATTACTGTATATAATAAATTATATTATTAAATAAAATTATAAATGATGTACTAGTGGTAGTTTTAATAATAATATATTTTAATAATGATTCTTATCTTATATTTTAATCATATAATAATAATATTAATTTATATACATAATATATTATCAAAATAAAAATTATTAAGTCTCATGAATAAATATATGCTAAAATAATAGTAATATTTTATAAATAGTAATATATGCTAAAATAATAATAGAAATATATATTATATAAAATACAAACTGAATAAAATAACTCTCATATAAGGTTTTTTCGATGAGAATTTTTTTGAAATCACACTGAGGTCATTATGATTAAGTTTATAAACTCATCACATTTGTGATTTTCTTCCCGTGGGTTCGTAAACAGTGTGTGTGGTCCATGTGGAAGCAAATAAACACATTTCTCACGCTCATTGCCAGAAGAAAGCAGCGCAGAGTGAGGATCGCTTACACTGACCTCTGAGCAGTTAAGTAGGTCAGAAAGCATGGCCAGATCTGGACGTTTAAATGTGTTGCTCTGGAAAACGTTAACCTCAAGCCAACATTTACAATAAAATCATCCTGCAATTTCACTTTCTCAAACATACTCGCACAATCACTGACAAAACACAGACATGAATAAGCAAACACGCATACTAGGCTCCAGGGGTCTGCAGTGATCTCTCTTGCACTCTCCGGCCCCTGCGTTTCGCACAGAGAGACGCTTGACCCCGCTGAGAGGGCCATGAGAAAGACCCAGGTGACGTGACAGGCATTTCCTCCTCCAGAGGAAAAATGACGGACCTGTCCTCCTCTGACCACTCGGACTCCAAACAAACCATGACAGCCCTTAACCCGGCCCGCTGTGGACATGTTTCCTGAGCTCAGGGGGTCAGTGCTGCACCCCTGCTCTCCTCCCTCCTCCACAAGCGCCTCTAAAGCACACTGACATTTTAAAGTGAAGGCATTAACATGTCAGGTCTGAGTAACGGTGGCAGACGCACGGCCAAAGGTCTGCTCAAGGTAATTAAAGGCAAACAGGAAGTGCCTGAACTGTGAAATTGAATGTTTGGTTTTGCTGAAACAGACATTTATCTGGAAATGATGTAAATATTGAGGATTCCGTGTCAATAACCTCAGTGATTATCAGTTATTCAGCACAAACATGAAATATGATTATGGTTATCTTTACAAAGTTTTTCTATTGGATGAATGTGCATTCAGTGTGACTAGGGCTCCATATATATATATATATATATATATATATGTATATATGTATGTATGTATGTATGTATGTACGTGTGTGTGTTTTGTGTTATTTTCATAAAATATATATAATATTTTTGTGCTGCATGTACATGTCCATTTTCCATTAAGAACATTAATTAATTATAATATTTAATAATCATTACTGCACTGCAAATAAAATAATAATACAATTCAAAACTGTATTTATATATTATGGTATAATTTGTCTACTGCCTTTTAATTTAAAATTAAATAAATTAAATTAAATCATTTGTAATATATATATAATTAAATATTTTAAATAAAATATACATTTATATATGTATTTGCTATAATACTGTATTTACTGTAATAGTTATACTTTTTTTAAATAATATTTAACTTTAATGGCTGTATTACATTATATATATTTTACTGTATAAGTCGATAATAATAATAATTGTTATTATTTATATTATTATTATTATTATTATTATATTAAATGAAAAGTATTGATATATTATAGTACTGCCTTTAATTTAAAATTTAGAGGAAAAAAAACAAATGATGAATGTTTACTGTAATGTTCTCAATAGACTATATATGTTTTTATTTTTTTATTTTATAATGTACACGTATTTATGTATTTGCTGTTAAATGGCTTAAAATGTTTATTTAGTGATTTTTATAACCAACATTTCAACCAAACAGCCATTATGATTAATACAAAAGTATGCAACAAAATACAGTACAATCAATCAAGGCTTATTTTCCTCACTGTTATTCACTAAATGAGCACCAAGGAAAAACAATATAAAAGCATTTTTGTCAACACACTTATACTCAGATGTCACAGAAAGAAATTGTGACACAGACTTCAGGGCATGTAATGGCCAAATAAAAAGCACATTAAAATCATCACAATATATAATCAAAATCAAGAAACCCCTCGGCGATATGTGTAGCCACATTTGAACAAATCAGCAAGTCATAAAGAATTTATAGAAACCATGATTTACATTTTCCTTCTTTGACTGAACGTTCTCAAAATCTCCCCTGGGCTGAATCCTGTAATCTCCTGATTTCTCCTTTGTTCTTGTGCTTTTTCTAGGCAAGCAGTTCTGGGTGTTCAAGGACACAATGCTACAGCCTGGCTACCCGCAGGACATCTCAATGTTTGGAAACGGCATGCCAGCACAGAGTATAGAGACAGCTGTCTGGTGGGAGGACGTGGCCAAGACCTACTTCTTCAAAGGAGATAGGTATGTGAACAGAATGCAAGTGTTCATCTCTCTGTCTCTGTGTGTGTGTGTGTGTGTGTGTGTGTGTGTGTGTGTGTGTGTGTGTGTGTGTGTGTGTGTGTGTGTGTGTGTGTGT